CTGCTCAGCCACCTCTGATGTCCCTGAAAAGTTTATAGTTTAAAACCTGATCATGTATAAAATGATTGCTGTGAAATTTTGGCTTCATATATCAAATAATTTTCTAGATTTTTTTAAGGCAAATTCGACGTATTTTTCCTCCACACGCTAAATTCTGAGGCAATTTTTGAACTTTTAAATAAAAAAAGACTGAAATTTCCAGACATTTCTTTTGTAAATAGAAATAAATCAGGATCTGCAATTTGGGGAACATACATAAACAATCACTAGTTAAAACATTGATCCTGTCCCATGTAAACCCCATCTTTGAGCTCATGCTAACAAAAACAGATAGAGCAAAATACCACTAGACACAACATGCATATCACAGCATCTCTGCTTACACGGTATCAAATGAAGAAGGCAATACAAAGTAGATCATATCCCCAGATACGTGTTTTTGTGCACGGTGCCTCATCATTTCACCAACATCCCCACACATTTTTAATACTCACTGCCTCAATAAAAGAAAAATCCCAAAACTCATAAAAGGTCCAGGAAAAAGGGCTCTGGCTGAATTAAAACGTGTTTTTAGCACTTTCGAAAAACACGTTAATAAAAAGCAGCACTTTGAACATGAACCTTAGCGATAAACCTTGATCTAAAAAATAACTCAAAGTCTCTGAGTTGGGCGTGTTGATGTTACGTTTCTGCGCTCCGGCCTCAAATCAGCCTCGATGGGCGGAGTGAAACTGACCACACCGGCCTTTAAAGACACACACCTCTGCAGGGATCAGAGCCTCATCCGTTTAACACGAACCGTGGACGTTAAGAACTGTTAATGTCCGTGAAGCTAACTTTAACGTTTACGGTGCTAACGGCCAGTATGACATAAATTAAATGTGTTTTTAATACTCTCATCAAATGTTTATGCATTTGTGAAATGTAGCCACTGTTAAATATCCATCTGAATATAAATATAACACAACAATGCAGATTCATAATACTATGTAGTCATATTTCGATATAAAAACGATGAAATATATATTTAACCTCGTTAATGTCACACTGCTGGAGCTTAGCTTGTACACAAATAAGCTCACCGTCTCTGAGGTGTTTTCATCGTGTGAGACAGAAACTCACCCGTTACCTCTGCTCTGCTCCCGGTGGATTTTCTTCCGCAGGTTTAAGTTATTTTGCTCCGTGAACTTT